CCCACTCTCCATAGTGTGCTAGGCCCAAGATGGACATCAAATATTACTATAAAAATGTACTGATTCAAATTCTTAAATGTATTGGATATCTAAAAAATATATTGAAATTGACGCCACTATTATAAAAAATATAATAAAAATAAAAACTCGTTTTGAGGTTAATTTTCTATATAAATAAGTGTCGGATTGTGAGATACTTCAAGAACTTTTCTTTTCTTAATGTTTAAGATGTTCCTAATGTATTTTTATCCAATAGGGTATAAAAACACACTTAATTCTTTAAATATCTATATTTTCTTCATCTTCATACACAATTAGTATCATCTAAAAATAGCAAAGGAGAGCATATACACGGTTTTAAATCTCGGTCAGGGTAAAACCACAATTCACACAATGTTTTTTAGTCGTAGTATGAAACGTTATTGATAAAAGTAAAATAAATCGAAGAAAAATCAAAACACATCCATTTTGTACGCAAGCACAACACCACAAGCAGCAAGCGAAGTATCAGTCAGTCAGATTAAATTCAGTGTTGTCAGTATAAAGAAAAATAATTACATGAAATTCATATATCGATTATTTTTTTAAATAACCGATAATTGATTTATATCTTAATCTTTTTTTTACGAGTACACATTATTTTTTATGTTTTTGTTTTAGTTGTACATATTTAAATAACAATACTAGTAAAGTTTTTTTTATTGCTTAGATGGGTGGGCGAGCTCACAGCCACCCTGGTGTTGCTAAGTGGTTACTCGAGCCCACATACATCTACAACGTAAATGCGCCACCCACCTTGAGATATAAGTTCTAAGGTCTCAAGTATAGTTACAAGTTAAAGTCCAATGGGTATGTCTTCGATGTTATTTTATGTGCATAAAATCCATTAAAATCGTTTGATTAATGATAATACTTAAAATGATTTATTTATATGTTTTATTTATATACTCAAAATATTTACTTCATACGTAAAAGGATTTGAAGCTGGCAATATTTTTCCCGCAAAAATAAAAATCCTTGTTTTTTCAATAGAGTTACTTTTTTTAAACTACTTATTGTAAACTATAGTGGCGCTTATTTGCAAGAAAGTAAATGCATATTTATTTATGACAAAATTAATGCACTAAGTATTTTTTCTATAATCTATTGTCCGCTTTGGGCCTAAAATGGGCCATCCCCTTTCTGTAAAAAACCCGATTAAGTAAGTACTGTGTATCAATCAACCACAAATATTATCACAATATTGTCATTACTAATTGGAAATAAGGGGAAGTAATAATAATATTCAATATATCGACACGTGTGTTCATGTTAAAGTGCGTAAAGGCGCACAGCCTAAATAAATCGTCGTAATAAATCATTGTTCTCGCGTACTGAGAGTTTTCTTATCTAATATTAACTTTTGCCCGCGGTTTCGCTCATGTTAACACTAAACATACCATAACGGGCCAAATGACTCATTTTGAACTTTTGCACGTATCATCGTATTGCTTTTGCACATTTGACTTCATGACTTCTTGTTACTAATTAATCTAGTATTTATACATTTTCTTAAAAAAATTTTTGTTCATTTTGAGTACCTAGTACTTGTCGCATACCGTTATCGACCCGCTATGGTAGAAACTGGTACCAGTAAGTTTGATTAGTGCTATGTACATTTTGTAACTCAATTTAGGAATATTTTTAGTCATTGTTGTATCTTTCTATATCATAATCACAGTCTTGGCTACTCTTTGGTTACTTTTGGCACAGCAGTCGTGGTCATGTGGAAACCTTGTTTGTTATAGCTGTTACGCGCTGGGGTTCGGGATAAATAAAATTCTACTGAATTACAAGTTAACACTGTATTCAACACTTAGAACACTTTAAACACTTCACAAACACTTTAAAACTCTCAATTCGCTTGTTCCGCTTCGCTTCAGGTGATCCGTTCGCTGTTTCTCTTCGAGTAGCTTCGATTACTAACTGCCTGCGTGCCATCTCTGCAACGCTTTTATAGCCGATACCACATCCCTAGAGTTATCAAGAATATTCCACATATTTCGAATATTGTGTTTCCGCTATTTGAAAATAGATGGCGTTGTACTTCTCGAGCGTTCTAGGTGCTACTAGATCCTTCAATATTCGTTCGACTATTCGGCGATAGATGGCGTTACTCTTACCGACATAACATAGCTTTGACAGCTGTTCTCCAGAATATGCGAAATGAGGCTCGGCGCACCCACTCGTTAAGTGGGGTCTTGGTAAGGTTTTTTATTTGATCAGTCCAGCGCCAAATGGTAGGGAGAGCATTTGAAATTGTCAAATGTCACGGGAGAATTGTGATATTTTCAAATGCGCTTCTGCTACTTACTCTCAGGATATAAGATTTGCTTCCGGGATATTACTGGTACGCCTGTCTGAAAGTAACTTTTCTAATGTTCGTCAACAATATTTTCCTAGGATGAAAACTACTCTATGTCTTTTTCTGTATTTTTCACATTATGTATGCTAAATTTCGTTATGTTCGATGTGGAGGTGAGAGCGTGACAAACAAACCAGATCCGTTTCGTGTAGTATTAATTCGTATAGTTTTTTTTCTCTACCTAAGTTGGTAGCTTTAGGGCTATGCCAGCGTAACCGAGCGAGTATGAGTCTAGAATGTGGACGTCGGTAACACTGGCCCTAGCAAGAGAAGTGCTTCTCAGAATCCACCACTGGATCGGAAACGCGACCCACTGAGATGATCCAGCGAGAAACTCAGTCGGCTGTGTCTGTGGGTTAATTTACTCGCCTTGCCCTTCGTCGCTAGCGACGGGTTTGACGAGAACTGGTGCTTGAGGTACCTAAAAGCACCGATAGTGGATTGGAAGGATGTGAAATGACGTGTTTAGGGCGACGTCGACTGCTTACTAATTGGTCTGCAGGATCGGGTATGGGTATAGCTATTATACCATAGGTTGCCGTAACGCTGAATTTTCAGCGCATCATCTCTATATATATAAGACTTTTTCTCTTTAATTTAGGAATTATAAATTAGGAATTGTTAGTTGGAATAAACATGGCGTTGCTCTGAAAACAAAGGTTTTATTATTTTAATAACTTACAATTACAACTTAGTAACATACACAACAGTCTCAAACAGTACATTCATATTATAGGTATCTCACCTGAAAACAACGAAACGACATTTAAGTCCATCACTCTCAATTCCTTAAAATAATTATGTAATTTAATTTATAACATTAACAATATGCCCGAACATGGCAGATGTCAACCCTTCAATAATTATCGACAGCGCCATCTATATAATTACACAGGAGCTATTTAGAGCGTTGTACAAATGTACTTTAAAGAAATATATGTATTTTTTTTACATATATACATATTTGTAAAATGAATATCATATGAAATACGTAGGGTTGTAAACACTTTCGTTTCCTGTTCGTTATCGAATGCGAATCTCGGCGGTGCGAGCTCTTTTCAATTTCCGCGACTTCCCGCCGAACTACTCAAACTTCGGGCCCGATAGTGAAGCGAAAACGTTTATTTAACCGAAATCAGATTAAGTTTTACCGAATTTCACATAATAATTTCAAACTAAACGTTTAATTTTTCTGTGTTGTAGACGTATTAATACGCTTTTATAAGCTTCAGACGTATGTATGTTAGTATGTAACGGAATCTTTGAACATGATTTTGACCCCCTTCAAAACGTCGGATTAACTCGGTATTTGATATACTTATTACGGACCGATGAAAATTCAATAACAAAAAAGATATTGAAAAAATTGAATTCAACTAAAAAATGAAAAATAAATAATAGTTAAGATAATATCCTGAGATGCACCCCACGCTTTTTTTAACAGTAATAAACTATTATTTTAAACTATTATTTATTTTAAAGGTCTCTTACGATACACATTACTGGTTATACAAAGAACATAAATACAAAAAAAATACGTTTTTTTGCACGCAAAAAGAGCTAACCGTGTCTTCGTGGTTTGCACTTTTATTAAGGGTCCTCCAGCATTAGGTTAAGATGACATTATCACATTTACACATGGCGATATGTGGACGAGAGGATTTTTAGGACTGTTTGAAATACACGTAGGTATTGAATCTATTCAGGTGTCATTTACCATACTATCAGCCACTGTACCAAATGGTAGGACGTCTGGTGAGTCCGCACGAGTAGGAATCATTGCCGTACCTATTTCTACCGTGAAGCAGTAATGCGTTTCGGTTTGAAGGGTGGGGCAGCCGTTGTAATGTTAAGCTGTGACCTTTACTACTAATATCTCGAGGTAGATGGCGGCATTTACGATGTCTATGGGTACCGGTAACCGTTTAACACCAAGTAGGCCGTGAGCTTGTCCACACCTATGAGGCCAACAGCGCAAAAGTGGTCTAACCCACAATTTTTTATTTAAAATATAATAAATTTTGATGCAAAGCCTGCTTATTCATAGTTTCACCCATAGATAACAGATACCTTTGTAAACATTATTTATCCGCGTATTGTTTTTTTGCCTTCTTAAATTCAAATTCATGAAAATTCAAACCTAATTGCCTCCATACTAACTATGGTAAGCTTAGGCCACTTTTACGTTGACGGCCTCATATATGCTATATATATAAAAATGAATTGCTGTTCGTTGGTCTCGCTAAAGCTCGAGAACAGCTGGACCGATTTGGCTAATTTTTGTCTTGAATTATTTGTGGAAGTCCAGAGAAGGTTTAAAAGGAGAAAAAAAGTTTAGAGAAATATGAAAGTAATCGGAATTAAATAAAAATATGAATTTTGTTTTTCCTTTGACGTGTCTCCCGTCGGACGGATTTCTTTTGTTTGTTTTAAGTTTATTTTATACAAAAGTTTAGGTCCTTTATTTATAGATTGAGGCACTACGAAGTCTGCCGGGTCAGCTAGTATGCTATAAAAAAGCACATTGGGGTTAGCGGCACACAAACGGGCAGAACATGAAGGAAGATTTAGATTACAAAGGCAATGCTTGTTGCAGTGTTGTAAGTATCGGCATGTCGGATGCGGAAGCAGCTCGCGGCTAAAGGCCGTGCGGGCGGCGCCGGTCGCCTGATGGGCAAGACGTCCGGAGGCCGGCCTGACGCAGGGCGCGCTCACAGGATCGCCACCAGGAGGTAACTTCACAAAGGACTTAGTTAAACATAAAGACATATTCCGCAATTATAACAAAAAATAAATCTGTTATAACCCCTATAGAGAGATTTCACATTACACTATTTCATGTCTCACATACCCACATATAAATTATTGTTGTTTGTTTGCTTGTTATTTTCCAAATAACGCAGGATTTTTCACGTATATCCCTGTATGATAACTAAAACACTGACCAGCTGTTAAATATTACTTCAGAAACTTATTTCCACGTTATGTTACATTTTACTGGTGGTAGGACCTCGCGTGAGTCCGCACGGGTAGGTACCACCACCCCGCCTATTTCTGCCGTGAAGCAGTAATGCGTTTCGGTTTGAAGGGTGGGGCAGCCGTTGTAACTATACTGAGAGCTTAGAACTCATGTCTCAGGGTGGGTGGCGGCATTTGCGTTGTAGAAGTCTATGGGCTCCAGTAACCACTTAACACCGGTTGAGCTGAGTGAGCTCGTATACCTAACATAGCCATAAAAAATGTAGGTACTAAATCGAATTGTTGAAATAATTTTAAATTTGGCGCCTTATAACTCAATATGAATATGAGATGATATATAATCTATGGCTATACTTGTCTCTGTACTCCGTGACATCCACCGCATTGTATTTTCATTTATATTAAATACTAGCGGCCCGCTCCGGCTCCGCTCGGGTCTATAATAAAAATTTCAACGACATTTGACGTTGTTTTATTTTTTAAAATAAAAGAACACTTATTGCGCCATAACTACAATAGTTAGACATATGCTGTCCCGACACTTTTTATAAATAATAACTTGTTCTACAAAGTCGTAGTACATTTTTTTATTCTATCATCAATAGTTTTCGCAGGGCACGCGATGTAAAGAATATTTTAGGTAATTTTTTTACACCTTGGGTTACATTATTGGAGTTTTAGTAAGGATACCTATTTTTTTTCAAAAAATATTACAGCCTATGTCACTCGGAAATAGTGTAGCTTCTAAACAGTGAAAGAATTTTTCAAATCGGTTCAGTAGTTTCGGAGCTTATTCAATACAAACAAACAAACAAATCTTTCCTCTTTATAATATTAGTATAGATTAAATATTAATAAATACAAAGTATAACTGTGTAAAACTTAGTGTTATTTATTTAATCTAACACGAATTTTATCAAATCGTTTAAAATTAGTTAACATAAGTAGGTAGCAGCTTTTGGGTCGCGCCGCCGAAGTCCAGAATAGAAAGTTTAAATCGATAAAAATAACGCATAGACAACGCGACCAATGCCCAATAATTTATTGCTTTTCGGTGCGCAAGGGCTGAACTCCGAAATATACCACTGATTCATCATGACACAGAGTTAGTTTAAACTTCAATCTTAAAACTCGAGGGAGTTTGTTCGACATTCGATATTTTTAATACGCTTTTATTAGCTTCAGACGTATGTAGGTTTGTAAATCTTTGAACATGATTTTGACCCCCTTCAAAACGACGAATTAACTCCTGCCTGCCTATTTCTGCCGTGAAGCAGTAATGCGTTTCGGTTTGAAGGGTGGCGCAGCCGTTGTAACTATTCTTGAGACCTTAGAACTTATATCTCAAGGTGGGTGGCGCATTTACGTTGTAGATGTCTATGGGCTCCAGTAACCACTTAACACCAGGTGGGCTGTGAGCTCGTTCACCCATCTAAGCAATAAAAAAAAAACTCGAAAATTGGTATAAAAAAAAATTTAAGAAACAGAAAAAATAGAAAAAGTTGAAATTCAACTAAAAAATGAAAAATAAATAATAGTTTAAAAAAACTAACAAAATACGCTTTTATATAAAATTCAACTAAAAATAGAAAATAAATTTTAATTAATTTGAATTAAAAATAGTGTATAAAATGATTTTATTGTAAAAAAAGCGTAGGGTGCTTTTCAGGATATTATTAATATAACTCTTCTACTCATATCTGTTCATAAAATATTTATAACTACTTAATAACTTTGTCATACACTTTTGTTAATTCAAATTTATTAAAATTTATTTTCTATTTTTTTGTTGGATTTCCTATAAAAGCGTATTTTGTTAGTTTTTTAAACTATCATTTATTAACTGATATAATTGATGCGGCTGAGAATCGCTGTGGCTGTCGCCAAATTATTGAGGTGTGTCGGAATTGGTCTCAATGATGAAGACGTTAAAATTGGTGATGGCTAATGGATAGCATAATGCAACATCACACAAGTAACATAATCAGAATTAAACTGATGCACGTTATGAATGGTCTGATGATAACACACGTGCTGTGGATACCATTATGAAAAGAAATAAAGAACATTTTTTGCATTGAAGATAGAGCATACTGTATGTTTTATTGTAAATAGGTATCGATGTTCATGAGTGACGCTAGCACATTCAAACTGCTTAAGACTCGAATATAGAGCTATGTGCTAGCTTTTTTTTTCTAACCTATGCTGATAGCCTATTTCAGCTTCGCCTTGATGTGTAGGCGAGCTCACAGCGCTCAAACCGGAGTGTTGCTAACACTGGTCCTAGCAAGAGCAGTGCTTCGCAGAATCTACCACCGAATCGGAAACGCGACCCACTGAGAAGATCCGGTGAGAAACTCAGTGGGCTGTGTCTATAGGTTAATTTACTCGTCGAACCCTTCGTCGCAAGCGACGAGGACGATGACCGGTGCTTGAGGTACCTAAAAGCACCGTTAGTGGATCGGGAGGACCCGCAATGACGTGTTTAGGGCAAATTACTGGTGGTAGGACCTCTTGTGAGTCCGCTCTGGTTGGTACCACCACCCTGCCTATTTGTGCCGTGAAGCAGTAATACGTTTCGGTATGAAGGGTGGGGCAGCCGTTGTAACAATACTGAGACTTTAGAACTCATGTCTCAAGGTGGGTGGCGGCATTTACGTTGTAGATGTCTATGGGCACCGGTAACCACTTAACACCAGGTGGGCTGTGAGCTCGTTATGAGTTTTGGAATCCAGCCTTATAAAAATGGTTGTGTGATGGTAAAAAAACGACAATGGAACCACTCAAACAATTTCTATTTACGTTCTCAAAACGTTCAAATAAACATTACTGGGAGGGACGGCAGAGCATAAAACCTCTTCCGAAACCAAAGCTTACAGACAGACAGACACTTAAATTTTATTATCCGAATGTATTATTTAAAAGGAGTGCATGCTTAGTTTTGTTTGCTTCAGAATTTTCTCTTTAATCTTTACGTTCGCGTGAAACAATAAATATAAATTAATGAAACGTGTGCTCGGAGAAGATTCAAAAGGTTTAGTTTTGAAGTCAAGTTTCGTTTGAGTGTACTAAACGGGCCGTGCGTTGAGTTTTTTTTGTCTTACAAACTATTAACAAATGACTAATGACACAAACGGATTGCAAGAGGATATTAACCGTGACAATCCGTGTACAAATTTGACGTTTAATTTTTTAATGCTAATGGGTTGGACAAGCTTACAACCCACCTGGTCTTAATTGGTTACTGGAGCCCATAGACATCTACAACGTAAATGCGCCACCCACCTTGAGATAAAGTTTCTAAGGTCTCAAGTATAGTTACAACGGCTGCCCCGCCCTTCAAACCGAAACGCATTACTGCTTCACAGCAGAATTAGGCAGGGTGGTGGTACCTATCCGCGCGGACTCACAAGAAGTCCTACCACCAGTAAGATATACAACTTTTTTATTAAATTTACAAACTACATATTATAACCGAAGCGCAATCAATCTGCCGAGAAAGATACATGAACTTGACTTAATAAAACGAAAAGTGTTCAAACGAGGACTTGAAATTAGAAATATTATAATAATATATTAATAAGCTATAGTAGTAATAATAATGATGTAAAGTTTAGTATACAATGTAGACTCATCAGAAAATATTTCGTTAGATCAACTGACTACACCAATCGGATGTCCTACATCGTATCGGAAACGCGACCCACTGCGAAGTACAGGCGAGTAACTCAGTGGGCTAGTGAGTTGTCAATAGCTTAAATAACATGTTTTGTTAATTGTCGAATTAAAAAAATTGAAAACAATTTTCATTATCATAACTTTTTAATTTATAATGTTTTTATTGGTATTTATTTCGAGATTGGTTGCTTTTAATTACAATATTCACACTCTGTGCCCGCCACGGTTATGTGCTAACGATCTGGTTTAAGAGAACCTTAATTACGAGCTGGAAATGAAATCGGATTACGTAGCAGCTAGTCCAAGCCGCGTTTATCACAGAAACCTTTTGGAAGATCTCCAGACTGATAACGTTCGTTTAATCACATAATTAAATAAACTCGCTGGACTGAAAGTGATAATTTAAAAATTTCGGAAGCAGATAATGCTTTTAATAAATGGATCGGTTTCAACGAATGGGAACTATTGAGATTCTTTTAACGCACGAGTTAGAATTGATAGGAAAATAGCGGATCTAGTTTCTAATTTGACTGACTCGGTGTTAGAGTAGGTAGCGCTCCTAATTGCAGAACCGAAGATCGTGAATTCGATTTCTAAGGGTTTATGTGATGAACAGTTTTAGTTGCTCTTTGACTGGACTGGACGTGTAATATGTCTTGTATGTAGTTGTTTAAGCGTATATATTTTATGTCGATTAGTCCCTGATTTCCGCAGAACAGGGAACCCTAGATTAGTGTCAGATGACCATGATTTGACGCTCTACTTTTTTGCTATTAAATGACTAAGACGGCCAATCTGCATTCTAAAATTGATATTTTCATTTTCTTGCTAAAATATTTTTTGTTACAGCCGCTTAATAAAAACAAAATTAGAATCTGTTAGGTAAGACAGAACTAAACACTTCTGTTCAGATCTCGATAAAATATAAATGGATAGCTAGCAAGATAAGTTCGAGATAACAAATAATAAAATAATCATCAAAATCTGGTTCACCTAGAAAAAAGTTCTGAGGCTGACCCAGAAAAAAACAGGTAAAAATTACAGTTGAATTAAAAGCCCTCTTTCTTTAATTCTGTTGAAAGGTATCGTATTTAATGGGTTTTCACCCTAGGTATAATAATATGGGTCGCTTTATTCATTGTCTTTGTAAATGGGTGAATGAGCTTAACACGTTCGCTGCGGCAAGTAAAATCTTAAACCTTTGTCTGGTGCGGCGGCGGGCCAAATTGTGCCCCCAATGATTTTTCCGCCAGTGCGTGGTAGGTCTTTTTCGACACGTCAGCACAAGGTTAGATTAAATTGCTATAACTTTGCGAAAACATAATGTAGGTAAACAGTTTTTGGACTGTTGGAAAAACCTTGAACCCAACTTCTTTAGATTTGATTCGCCCCGGGATCTGCCGAACAGAAAATGAGAAATAAACCAGGGAAAGTGGCGGGTCGGTATCGACCAGAACCGCACTAGAAAGTATTTTTAGTAGTGATGGGAAAGACAAAAATAAGGGGATATCGAAAATAAAACAGAATTAAAGTAAAGAAATAAAAATTGTTTATTTAATTATTTATTAATGGCTGTCTTTAAAACATTTCGCACAAAGATTTTGCTTGCACATTCTGCAGTATGTTTTAATTTTTTTTACTTTCCTTTTCACCTCGGAACTCTTCATGGTTTCCCGCAGTTTTTCATTTTCTTGAAGGAAAATATCTTCTGACTGCTGTCACTATCACTATCTGCACCGCAAATTAATTTATTTTCCAAAATATTTATCTTTCTTTTGTTGCCTGACATCGTGCCTTTAATTTTAAGGAATAAAAAAAACGTGACGTACGTCAGTTCCGATAGCTTGCCCAACACTAACTGGCGAGGCGGGCGCTCTGTGCGGTATCGGGCCGCCAACAGCCTGTTGGGACGGCGGGCCACAATAGGCCTCCTCCCGCACCGAGTTGATATTTTTTACCGTCAGTGCGTGATAGGCCGATAAAGGCCTGCCGTGATGTTTTTATAGGGAACACCTATACTTTTGACCACAATCTCAAATATATATTTGTCTTTGTCGTACCTTTACAAACACCTGAGATAATCGTTCCGCACCAGCGAGAGGGACATAGTTTTCTTCGTCCGCACCAGGTGAAATTCCGCGGCAGGCTGATTTGGGCCTGTTCCGCAGCGAACGTGTTAATGCCCACCCGGTGTTAAGTGGTTACCGGAGACATTAACCACGAATGCCACCACCCCCTTTGAGACATGAGGTCTAAGTGATTGTATAGCAGCCGTCTCACCTTTCATACTAGAACGTATTGCGCTATTAAAGTTGCTTCGTGGCAGAAATAGGCAGGGCGGTGATACCGTACCGTGCGGGCCTACAAGACGCCGTACCGCTTGCAAACTTGTTCGATTCTCGATTAGAATTAATATATTTTTGAAAAGATATTTTGTGTCTTTTTGGATCTTTCGTATAAGTACGAGTCCTTGTCTTTTAAATGTTTCTTATAATGCAAGAGAAAACGCTAACTCTGAGCCAATGTAGATGGACAGTGTTTTATTTACTTAGATGGGTGAGTGTGTTCACGGCACGCCTTTTTTTATTTTTTTATTGTTTAGATGTATGGACGAGCTCACAGCCCACCTGGTGTTAAGTGGTTACTGAAGCCCATAGACATCTACAACATAAATGCGCCACACACCTTGAGATATAGTTCTAAGGTCTCAGTATAGTCACAACGGCTGCCCCACCCTTTAAACCGAAACGCATTACTGCTTCACGGCAGAAATAGGCGGGGCGGTGGTACCTACCCGTGCGGACTCACAAGAGGTCCTACCACCAGTAACACCGCCTAGTAAGTAGTTATCGGAGCCCGTAGACATCTACAACGTAAACACCTACACCTTGATTTATGAGTTCTTAGGTCTCAGTTTTTACAGTACAAGTATAACAAGTGAGTATAAACCTTATGTCAATATAGTCCCACTTGTGTTTTATGTTTCTTTTCTTTTATTTATCTTATTTATTATCTGGATCTGTGTGGAAGGCAATTAATGATTTTATTATTATTGTTATTATTATGTTAGAGGAAGTCTAAAAGTGTCACCTGTGACAGAGAAGTTGAGAAGTGCGCGTTTGGGATGGTATGGACATGTGATGAGATGAAATGAAAATGAGGTTGCTAAGAGAGTGTAAACTATGAATGCAGAAGGATGTAGAGGAAGAGGCAGACTTAAGAAGAAATGGATGGATTGCGTGAAAGATGTTATGTGTAAGATAGAAGTGAGCGAAGAAATGGTATATGATAGAGGGGTATGGAAAGAGAAAACATGTTGCACCGACCCCAGGTGACTGGGAGAAGGGCAGGAGAATGGTGAATGATTATACGGGTCAACACTAAATTTGACTTTGATTGCAAAGCATAAAATTTCGATAGTTTAGATCGTAATTAGATGAAAAAAAAATACATGGCATGAAACAGTTTGCTTTTGAATTTTAATAAATTGACCACATATGAAACAAAATGCATCAGCATCGTATTTACACTTTCGTGACATTTTAAGTTTTTCTGGGCTTGTACAAAACACCTGATCGTTGTTTATGACTCGAGTGCCATCTAGTGGCACTGCGTAAACGTAAGCACCCCACTCTCACAGCGCGGTTTTTTTGAAAGTATTAAAAAATGAATTAAAATTTATAAAAAAATTTAAAAGTGAGTCTTATTACTATAACTTTATACCAAAAAAAATGTGTGCGTGTACTAGTGTACACACGTAAGAAGTGAAACTTATTTATGGCCTTATTTTTCGAAAAATGATCTACATGCAACTTTCTAGAAATTGGTTAAATAAAGTTAAATTAGATAAAGTTTAAACAAAAGGATTTTATTATCATAGACATGAATACAAAAAAGTTAAATTAGATAAAGTTTAAACAAAAGGATTTTATTATCATAGACATGAATACAAAAAAGTTAAATTAGATAAAGTTTAAACAAAAGGATTTTATTATCATAGACATGAATACAAAAAAGATGGCGCGTAACGGAAAAATGTGACGCGTAACCGAAAAATGTGACGGTAAATTTTTTTCCAACGCCGATAAAGAAGTTTCACTTCAAAAAGGTATTTTATTTTCGTTTTTGTGAATAATTATCCGGAAAAACCTAGTAGAAGCGTTAGGACAAAGAACTTTTTTTTTTTGTAGAGCAGTGATATTATCATTATTATTATATATGTAAAGTGGCTTATTGCATGTGCCAGGGAGTCGGGAGTGTCGTGGGGGAGGAGGGCGCGGGCGTGCGGCCCTCGATCAGGCGGGGTGGCCGCCCACGTGGGCGCGTGGCGGCGGCGCGAGCGCGCTGCCCAGCCGCGCAGACCCATGGAGATCCTCACCAGCATCTACGCGCTGCTGTCTGGAGGGGTAAGCATCCCCAACATTCCCCATTCCTTTAGATACGCAGCTTCTGGTATGTGACGAGTAAAAGGAAGCTGATATTACATATATATATACATATATATATATATTTTATACTTTATTATTATATACCTTAGTACTGACCTACTTCGGGCAAGTTCTGGCTTATCCAAGGATGGGGGTTATTGAGTGATAGGAGGTTTTACGGTGCAATTTAAACCTTATGAGTCAAGTTGCGGAATTTTTTTTTATTGCTTAGATGGGTGGACGAGCTCACCACAGCCCACCTGGTGTTAAGTGGTTACTGGAACCCATAGACATCTACAACGTACATACGCCACCCTTCAAACCGAAACAGATTACTGCTGCAGGGCAGATATAGGCAGGGTGGTGGTACCTACCCGTGCGGATTCATAAGAGGTCCTACCACCAGTAAATTACATACGCAGCCGCTGGTATGTGACGAGTAAAAAGAAACTGCTCTTCAAATATTTTTCTTTTTTCTTTTGTTGTTATTATTATTTTTATTTTATTCCGAAATTGTACATAGTAATTGTTTTTATTTAATTTTGGTATTCTATATGAAATGTTACTGTTAATGAATGTAATATGGAAGTAAATGAAATAAAGAAATATATAAATACTCGTGACTCCTACTGGTGATAGCGATTCCTCAGAGATCATGCTCTCTGCTGTGACAAGGTTCAGATTATCTAAGAAATATAGTAGTGTTGGATTCGGTGCTGCATTAAATATTTCATTCTTAGATGAGTTTTTATTTCACTGTCTCCTTAAGCCATTGTAATAAATACTGTATTCTGTTTCTAAAGGGAAAAGTCTTCTAGAGGAAGAGGTAGACCTAAGAAAAAATGGATGGATTGCGTGAAAGACGATATGTGTAAGAGGGGAGTGAGCGAAGAAATGGTATATGATAGAGGAATATGGAAGGAAAAAACATGTTGTGTTGACCCCGGGTGACTGGGGGAAAGGGCAGGAGAATGATGACTGTTTTCTCTTTCGAGAGGCTCCCTTGTAGCAGCATCGGTTAGATCTACCTACATAAACCAATCTGGAGACCAAACATTCTCCAACACGACGTTAATAGTAAACCCCGCAATACGAAGCATAAAATGGAAATGAAGACTCTTATTGAATTATTGGATCGTAAAAATTTAATATCCCGCAAATTATGGCGCTCGATTCGCTGTGATATTAGCGGATACTGGAAACGTCTCGGTGGCGACTGTAAATTATTAGTTAACTAGCTGACACGGCAGACTTCGTAGTGCCTCAATCGATAAATAAAGTGCCTAAATTTTTGTATAAAATAAACTTAAAACAAACAAAAGGAATCCGTCCGACGGGGGACATAATAATATCAAAGGGAAAACAAAATTGTTATTTTTATTAATTCCGAGTATTTTCATATTTATCTACCTTTTAAACCTTCTCTGGACGTCCACAAATAATTCAAGACCAAAATTAGCCAAATCGGTCCAGTCGTTTTCGAGTTTTAGCGAGACTAACGAACAGTAATTCATTTTTATATATAATAATATATAGAAGATAGAAGATTTAATACCAAATGCCTTTTTCGTTTGAACGTAAGTTGTTCGTCAGTTTGTGTGAAAACGAAACAGAAGTTAATGTTTTCTTTATTAATTTAATAGCAAGGTGTTAATCCGAAGATCGACTCGGTAGCATTTCGTCTGCACTGCGGGGCAACAACTGCCGCGTTGTTGGCGGCGAGCGCGGCTCTCACCACGCGCCACCTAGTGGGCAACCCGATAGACTGCATCCACACAAGGCAAGCTACACTGCACGCTAAGTCACCTGTACTTTGTTCATAATGTTTTTGATAGATGGCGCTGTTAGCAATTATTTTTAATAAAAAAAAGATTCTTAAAATTCTTGATGTCTGAAATCCACAACTAGTAAATATGAAAATACTACTAGCTTGTGGACGATATGGCTTTTTGGTGACGGTACGTATCGTGAAAGTGTGTACCACTATGCATTTTATTTCTGTGATGAGATGCGCTTCGATCGATCATTAAAAACAAGAGTGCTGTCTTCCCTTCTTGTGATGAGATAACTATTGAAAACCATTGATAATCAGTTTGCTTCCCGTCTCGAGCTATAAATCAGATGGGTAATGAAAGTGACAGCTACGGTCAGCGATCGAGATGGACCGCCAATAACATAGTTTGTTATCTTCTTAGGGACATTCCTGAAGACGTATTGAACACCTACTGCTGGATCCACTCAACGTTCACAGTGGCAGGGGAGGCGTCCGGTGCCTACCCAGGGGTGAGGGGCGCGGGGACATCGCCACGACGCTACGGGAAGTACTACCAGTGGGTCGCGTTCACATTGTTTTTTCAGGTAAGTTATACGTTCTAAAGGCACTGATGTTAACTGAAGATTGGGTTTTCTTCGTGATTTTCATCACTTACTAGCAAATTCGGTTATACTTAGAGAACACTGCTGCTCATTCGAACACCGTTGCATCGCTCGACACGAATGCACCGGACGTCTTATCTTTTAGGCCACGACGACTTAAAGATATCCTTAAGGCTTAAGTCTACCTTTAGGATACCTACCTGACACCACAGCTATATTTTCGTGGGCCTTAAGATATTTTAGCTGAATTCTTACATTTAATCTAAAATAATATCCTACCTCGATGTAGTGTTTATCTATGAACTGCCTTTTTGAATACGAAATTAAATATTAATAAAAAGAACCTTCTTCACATACGAAATATACTACTATGTAGCCGTTCATTATTTAAATGTGAAGTTTCATTGAAGAAGGACATTATAGCAGTTGAATATGTTCTCTTCTAATACGATTTCAGATAAATAAAGTTCTTCCAAAAGGACTACTTCACTATTGTTCCTATAAAATCTTTATTTTTCAAGGATCGATTGCTGTATTTCTTATACAGGCATCCGACGTATAATCTACCTTTGATATTCATTATCTAGTTGGCCGCGAAATCGTCTGCTTATCTACATTCATTAAAAATATCTAACCTAAGATAATCACGAGTTTTATTTCTTTTAAAACGCGCAAAATTACTGCTTTAGTTTGCACCGAAATAGACCGAATTCCTTGCGCCAAATGTGTTCGCGCAGAATACCTATGCGAATCTAATTATTCTTTAATTTGTAGAATTGGGCGTATGGTTTCACTGGCATAGGTGTTTAGAAAAAGAGAAGGTCTTTGTCTGAATCTAACGTAATCATCATTCTATCAGACTGGTGGTAGGACCTTATGTGAGTCCGCACGGGTAGGTACCACCACCACGCCTATTTCTGCCGTGAAGCAGTAATGCGTTTCGGCTTGAAGGGCGGGGCAGCCGTTGTAACTATACTGATACCTTAGGACTTATATCTCAAGGTGGGTGGCGGCATTTACGTTGTAGATGTCTATGGGCTTCTGTAATCATTTAACACCAGGTGGGCTGTGAGCTCGTCCATCCACTTAAGCAATAAAAAAATTTATCAACCAATTACAGCTACATTTATCTACTTCTTCTTAGTCGCATGCTTCATTGGTGAAGGTCGTGTCCTTAAAAGACCTTGGTGGCTCTTTGTACAACCACCTTCCACTTCGTTCAGTTTTCGACTTCCCTCAGGGCGGCTTTAATAGACCACTAAGCGCGGTAACCAGATCCGACCAACGTTTTGATGAGCGGCAGTGGTTGTTTCGTTGCTACCTTGCTCATCACAACCAATTTTTCAATGCTGTCTGGTTGCCGTCGTGTGACAAAAGTAACTAAGAATATCTTGGTAGCAGGTCGATGACGGCTGTGTGTTTCCCTGACGCTGTCTTCGGGTCTCAGTTTAGGTGGTCTGCGAGATCCATGTTCCTTATAGACTATTTGATGACGATGACTATTTTGCAAAAGCAGGATTCGATAACTTGGAGTTCGTTTATGTGCTTGCGGGCCGCGTGAGCGAACAGTATACTTGGTTGCAATCTTCCTACCTAATTGTCTTCAATGCGGTTTTATTCAAATTTCAGGTTGGGCCATTGAAACGATTGATCACTTCACACAAACTTGGTTTTTTATTTTGTCTTAATCGTCTTAATCTATGTAACTAAAATATAAACGTCTCGCTTCTTCAGAGTTACACTGCGTCTGTCTGCCGTCGCGTCCGACAACTACCCTCCTCTCGCTTATAAAATAAATACAGGTGTTCTGCATTCATTCGCCGCCTTTCTTACTTCCTAACACGACATCTCCTGTCTGTCTCACTCAGTCATGCTCCAAATCTGTCATCCATCCATACCGTTCCGTTCCTACATATATTTGTTCGTCGTAATTTTTGAACGTCATTTTCAGCGACCTTAAAACGCTGCATTTTTTTTTTTTTAAAGTTGAAGTTATTTTTTCTTTTTTCCTACCTAAGGTGATGGTGTTGAGATACAATTTTAGCGTAACTTTAACTAGTAGGTGAGCTCACGGGGCACAAACCTGACGAATTATTTGTTACTTCACTTTAAGCGTATTTAAGCGTATTACTATTTTTAAAACTACATATATATTTATTGTTACTTTTTAACGATAAAAGCATCGACTATTGTGATAGTTTATTGACCGCGTATAAACTACATTCAAGCCGAATCATTTTAAACAAATCATAAAAGTTTTATTTACTGTCAGTTTCGCGGGTCCAACCGGGTGATATCTTTATTTCCCGGATTCTCCACGTCAGATCGTCAAGGCACTGAAATTGAGGCTACAAATGTATGTTACAAGGCATAATAGCAACTGCTTTTACTGTTTACTTTGTGTGTTTGCACTGGAGTAGTTCTTTTAAGCCGGAATATCGCTTGTGTCAGGAAACTCCGCCCTTCCTGAGTAAGTATTCGAATAAAACTAATAATAATAAACAGAAAATAAACTACAAAAAAGAGATTAAAAATTTACAAGAAAATTAAATGTTAATTTACACAAATACAATGTTATTTTCGTCATATTATTTCCAACGCGGTGACGCTGACGTTTAGAATACTTTACAACTTTTCGTGGACATAGACAACTAAAGTGTTTGTTACTCGTCGATATTTGAATATTATGGTAAATACCGTCTGTATTTTCTATTCAAGGACATGCTAAATTAAACCGTAAAAGTATTTTTAATTATGTACATATAGCTCAAACTAGATAGCGGTATTTAAGTTGCGTCGCCTAAGGACAACGACCGCTGAAGATCAGCTAACTGGATTTTTTTTTATTGGCCGTGCAGGCAGACGTGCGTACGGCCCACCTGATGGTGAGTGGTTACCGTCGCCCATGGGCAGAGTCAAGCCGCAGCCTACCGTCAAATACCTTCCACAAGCCTCGTTTGAACAAGGATATGTCATAGCGCTCGGGAAACACCGTGGAGGGGAGCTCATTCTAAAGCCGGATGGTACGTGGCAAAAAAGATTTGTGGAAGCGCACTGTGGATGGCCGCAGTGGCTCCAGGTAGTATGGATAAACTCTACTCCGGTGGCGGGCGGTGCGATGGTAAAAACGAGATGATGGTATCATGATCACACAAATATTTCTAGATTGTTTTCAAATAACACTTAAAGACGTTAATGGTATTAAAATAGTTTCTTCGCGCTTTGGATGACTCGGCGAGAGTCACGGCGAGTGATCTAGTGACGCGGCATGTATCGTGATCAGCTAATAGTGTTTATTGGCTTTCAGATTAAATATCACGCTAGCCGGAGTACGGCGGGTTTGTGGAGAATTGGCGTGTCAATAAATATGTTATTTGAAGTTTAAATACGCGAATACGAGTATCTAAACAAGTTAACAAAATTAGAACCATCATTTTTTTAAATAATTAATTTTCATAATTATAAAATGTCATAAGTTTTTCAAATCAAGTCGCTTGGGGCCTGAAGGATAAGACGCCCGTTGCATTCATATCAAGTGATGTGATTGTCGCAGATACCAATTATTCTAATGGAATACGTGCGTAACAAGTGTCCACGATTGACTTCCACGGCGAAGGAACAACATCGTGTAACAAAAATAAAACCCGCAAAATTAGAATTTGCGTAATCACTGGTGGTAGGACGTCTTGTGAGTCCGCACGGGTAAGTACCACTCTGCCTATTTCTACCGTGAAGCAGTAATGCGTTTTGGTTTGAAGGGTGGGGCAGCCGCTGTACTGTTTACAGTAACAGTTTTAAAACCGAGACTTTTTTAGATATGCCTACGGTTTTTAGTCTCCTATGAATGTCTTTTTTTTTATTTTTTTATTGCCCTTGTAGTCATACGAGCATACGGCCCACCTGATGGTGAGTGGTTACCGTCGCTCATGGACTTCAGCAATGCCAGGGGCAGAGCCAAGCCGCTGCCTACCGTTAAGCTGTCTTCTAGCGCTGATGCTGAAGTAAGCGATAGCTTTGGACTATTCAGTGTGTTACGTTTATGTCGATGTAACTCATCATATTTCTTCGTTTTTATATAGATTTTAAGTATCCTCGAACAAATAGGGCTGTGCCGTTCAGCTCTACGAGCTAAGAGCTACATACACATAAAAGCTTAAGCCCTCTACGCCGTAGCGCTTTCGTAGCATAAGACCTTGACTTCATTGTGGTGATGAAAATGCATCGTAATATTGTAGGGTTGATAAGAACGGAACGTATGAAAAGAGTGTGAAACGGAGCGTTAAGATGTGAGTGAGAGAAAACGGAAAGAAAAGGAAAAGAGAATGACAGAATGACAGAAAAAAGGAAGATGGCGAAGACGGTTAAAAATGAGCAATAAAAGTGTTAATAAATTTTTAATTATTATTATAATAGAAGATTTTGGAACAGTGGAAGTTTTGTTTTATGCGCTACGATCCCTATTCTACAATATTAATGTTTTAATTTACAGTTATAGGATCTTAATAGTTAATAGTCGCTCTGGCTACTATCATCGGGTACGCGATCTCGGATACTTCGATATGAATCTCTAACGTATGGTCGTAGTGCTGACAACATTAATCGAAAGATCGCACGGTTAGCCTCTTTTTTTTTTTAATGCCCTTGTAGGCTTACGAGCATACGGACCACCTGATGGTGAGTGGTTACCGTCGCCCATGGACTTCGGCAATGCCAGGGGCATAGCCAAGCCGCTGCCTACCGCTTAATTAAACCTTAGGGCAAAGTAGCGGGAAGACATATACTACGCTTAAAATGCGTCACCTTAGTACTGACCTACCTCGGGCAAGTTCTGGCTTATCCAAGGATGATGAAAGGGATATTGAGTGATAGGAGATTTTACGGTGCATTTGAAATTGCGACCTTATGGGTCAAGGCGCGGCATTATTTATTTATTGCTTTAATGGATGGATGAACTCACAGTTCACCTGGGGTTAAGTGATTACCGGAGCCCCTAGACATCTACAACGTAAATGCCGCCACCCACCTTGAGGTATGAGTTCTAACGTCTCAGTGTAGTTACAACGGCTGCCCAACTCTTCAAACCGAAACGCATTACTGCTTCACGTCTGAAATAGGCAGAGTGGTGGTACCTACACGTGTGGACTCACAAGAGGTCTTACCACAAGTAATTGATGTCCATAGGTTCCAACCTACTTAATACCTGTTAGATTGTAAGCTCGTATATTCGTCTAGTACAGTTAAAAAAATCACTTCCACAATTTCTAAATTAATTTGCTCCGTTTTGGTCAATATGCGATCTTGCGACTGTATCGAGTTCCATAAATAAGTGATTAAGTAAAGGATTGAGCGAATGGCTTCCGTTTTGATTGATTATAGGTATTTTGTTCTAATCATTCGTTTAATCGCCCCGTTGGGTAAGCTATTGCGGTACCATAGGTTCGATTCTCGATTAGGTAACTCTTAAAGTCATTTGGTATTGTATTAGGCGCTACTTACAGAAATGGGTTCTAAGTCTAAGATTTACAGTACAACGTCTGGTCTACTCTTCAAACTGAAACGCATTACTGCTTCATGGCAGAAATAGGCAGGGCAGTGGTACCTACCCGCGTGCACTCACAAAACGCCCCACAACCGATAAGTCAATTGGGATGAAATGAAATAAGTAATATATCCGTAAAATGATGGGAATTTACAATAAGATTTCAGTGGGATTATCGAAAGAAACCACGTTCAGTGGCTTTGTTTCATTTTCCTGCTACTGTGTTCTGTTACAGACGTTAAAAAAATTATGTTTTTATTTAATTTTTTTT